ATATATCTGTATATATTTATCATATGTTGGTTGTTGTTGTTAAGTGTCATCAAGTTAAAAGCTGACCCTCCAGTGGGTTTTCAGAGGCTATAAATGACACAGGAGGAGATTCTCCATCTTTCTTCTACGGAGCAGTTGGTGGACTCAAACCTCCTGTCTTTAAGTTGGCAGCACAACTCCTTAGCCACTATGCTACCAGTGCTCTCTGTGAATCATGTTGTTGTTGTTGTTAGGTGCCATCAAGTCGACTGTGACTCACAGTGACCCTATGAACAATAAATGTGAGCTTAGCCTTATCTTGTGAAGAAATATATAGGGTATAGAAGACAATGTTTAATAATTTTTAATGTCTACAGTGTGTAAAACGTCTAAGTCTTACAATCTGAACAATTACAGCCTTTTTACATATAATTTGGAAACATTTACAATTTAGCCATGGAGTGTCAAAATTAGCTTAAACAAAGTATCACTGTCATCAGATTTACTGTGAGAAATGAGTGTTCTCTTGGAGAGAACACTTTTAGAAAAGATAAGCTTGTTCACACAGCTAACCAAAGACACATTTGAAAACAATGATATAATAAATCCATCTAAGCACCAATTAGGCTCCCTGTGATCCTTACCCTGTTAAATAATGAGAACCCATTTCAGACTTTGATGTAAAAGAGGAAATAGATAATTAGTTACTTTGTTGCTTTTCAAAATCAGAAATTTCCACTCTTTCATTAGCTTTCCATTTAACAACTAATGGCTATCTAACCATGGAATGAGCAATTAAAAGAATGGCATCAGGATTGGAGCTATTGACACATTCATTAAAGAGCTCTAGAACGGATAAAGAAACGAAGGGACTGGGGCTTTCCAGTTAAGTATCTACACAGCTATTTAAAGAACCCATAAGCAGCTGCTTTCAAATTGTTTCCAACTTCTGCCAAGTCCATGTGCCGCACAGAAGAATTATGTTCTATAGAGCTGTTACAGTTAGGACTTTTCAGAAGCAGAGGATCATAACTTCTTTTCAAGGTGCCTCCAGGTGGGTTTAAACTATCAGTCTTTTGCTTAGTAGACATGCACTTAACTCTCTGCACTACCCATGGCTATTCAGAGAGAGGGATAGACATAAACACATAGAATCTGTCTATAGAATTGCAATCACTCTCTTTCATTGCTGTCAAGTTGCAACTGACTTACAGCTGACCCTCTAGTGGGTTTTTAGAGAGTGTAAGCTGCATGAGAGGAAACTATCTGTCTTTCTTCTGTAGAGCATCTGGTGGATTCGAGCCATCTGCCTTTGGGTCAGAAACACAACCCCTTACCCACTCAGCCATCAGAGCTCATATACAAAGGATGTTGCATTGACAGCCAAAACTTTCTCTCTAATATTATGAGTTACTTAAATGTTTTTCTTTCATGTTTTTGTTATGTGCCGTCAAGTCGCTTGCCCTAAACTCTGCTCTGTCCTGTGCCAATTGCACTGTCTCTGACACTCCCATCCTGATTATCCCAGTCACTGAATCAATCCACCTCATAGAGGGCCTTCCCCTCCTGCACTGTCCCTCCACCCTCCCAAGCATGAAGTCCTCCTCCAAGGATCGGTCTCGCCTCACAACATTAGTTGCAAGCCTATTGGGTAGCAGGCACTTTGCTAGATGCTGGGATGCCCCAAGACAATTACAAGGTTCTTGATTCTGACAGACCTAAGGAGACAGATATGAGTCAATTATGCCAACTGAAAAAACTGTGTCAAGTTCTGTGGAAGGATGGTGAGAGAAGTGGTAGATAATCACGTGCTCTGGCTTCTGGAAAGGGGAGCTCTGGTGCCGTAGGCCATGGGTGGTTGTGTTGTTAACCTTGTCATGCCCGAGTTCATGCCTCTCTGGCAGTTCAATTCCACCAGCAACTCCAAAAAAAGAAAGA